AAACTAATGATAATGATATTTTAGCTGTTAAACTTGTGGAGAACCACTGCCTCAAGGGGAATTTTGTTCCAAGTCGATATAAAAAGTTTTTTGCAGCCCCATTTTTACTTCTGTAATGTGATTTTTAACAAGAAAAATACTGGGGAAATCATTGCACATCAGAATAGAGCTATGTGTTTGGAAGGGGTCAAGATTTTAGCTTATTAGCATGGCCCAACTAGCCTTTCATGGTAGATGCAGTAAATCCAGTTTTTCTCAATTGACTACTTAAAAAAAAAATGCTGTGTATTCTGACAAAATTTTTCTTTTATTATTTTTATTTATTTATTTTGAATATAGATGTTTTTCTACTGACTTTTTCCCTTGAAGGCTGTTAAAAGCATGAAATGGACTGGAAATGGACAATGTCTGCTGTCTTTGATGTCACATCTCAGGATAGTGACTAGTCAGCCAATCAGCTTTGTCGGGACATCATTTTCCTGCAGCACCAGGGTGATGAAGATTGAATTAGTCACATGACATGTATGGCTCAAAAACATCCGTGCCCAAAACTGAGTGCCTGTGAGCAAAGATGGCAGATTGTGCCAGCCGAAGAACAGATAGCTTTCTTCAGATATTATATAGACCTCATTGGCTTGGTGACGTTGGTCATCCATCCAGCGTGCCTTTGGCTAGAGATGATGTGATAGTCTCCAGCATCTCCATGACCCTATATGGGAATATCGGTTGGGAGAATAGTTGCATTTCAGAGGTGGTTATTACTAGCGTGAAAAGCATTTTTGTGCAATTTGAGTTTAGGGATCACAATTAATGAGACAATTAATGTTGGATTTTTTGCTGATTTGTAATTTGTGATCGAAATGTTCGTACATAATGTAGATTGTTTGTTGACATAGTAGATAGGAAGTACTTTTCAAGAAAACTTCTCTCCCTCATGTCATTACAAACCCATAAGACTTTGGTTCACCTTCACAAATTAAGATATTTTTAATAATAATGAGATGTTTCTGTCCATCCATTAGAAGTCCAGGTAACCAAAAAGGTCATAAATGCATCGTTAAACCAAATCCATATGAATCAAGTGATTTTATCCAAGTCTTGTGAAGAGGTATGATCGCTTTATTTGATGAACATATTTAATTTAGGCTCTTATTTGCATCTGAACAGTGATCGGTGCACATACATAGACTAGAGCACGAAAGTTCAAATGTGCGCGTGTGATGCATGAGAACCAGTAAGGTTTGTTTTAGTGACACATGCACAAGCTTACATGTTTACAATGCGATGAGCTCTATGTAAAAATAAAGCTAAATCTGTTCATCAAATAAAGCAACCTAATCTCTTCCCAAGACTTGGATTTAACCGCTAGCTTCATTTGTATTATTTTATATTCATATTTAATTTTTGGGTGAACTCTCCCTTTAAGGCAGCAGTTCTCAATGAGAGAACTTTGGGGGTGCTGGAAGATATATTTTTTGAAGGGGTTTTGTTTAAGACAAGTTTACAGCAAAGATTCACACCGAGATGAGCTGAAACTTGCAACTACTTTCAAAAGAATGTGGACTGTATCGTTCTAACACATGCCAGTTTATACCAATGTGACTAGACGAGACGGGGTATTGTTTCCATAGCAACCACTCTTTACTTTAGTTTTTCTGTCAGCTTTGTGTTGCACAGCTGTCAGACTTGTGAAAGCAACTTAGTGTCTAGCTTCCAGAAACACGCTATGACATATATAAAATAATAATAAGAAGACAAATGCTTCTTGTTTACTGATTGGCTGCTGTTTGTGATGATAATCTAATTAAAGGTTGAATGTCGAATTGCTTTGCATTTGTTGAACCCTCAGAAAAATAATTTCTTTTCACATGGCTCTTTTTGCTCCCTGGGAAACTAATGATAATGATATTTTAGCTGTTAAACTTGTGGAGAACCACTGCCTCAAGGGGAATTTTGTTCCAAGTCGATATAAAAAGTTTTTTGCAGCCCCATTTTTACTTCTGTAATGTGATTTTTAACAAGAAAAATACTGGGGAAATCATTGCACATCAGAATAGAGCTATGTGTTTGGAAGGGGTCAAGATTTTAGCTTATTAGCATGGCCCAACTAGCCTTTCATGGTAGATGCAGTAAATCCAGTTTTTCTCAATTGACTACTTAAAAAAAAATGCTGTGTATTCTGACAACATTTTTCTTTTATTATTTTTCTTTATTTATTTTGAATATAGATGTTTTTCTACTGACTTTTTTCCTTGAAGTCTGATAAAAGCATGAAATGGACTGGAAATGGACAATGTCTGCTGTCTTTGATGTCACATCTCAGGATAGTGACTAGTCAGCCAATCAGCTTTGTCGGTACATCATTTTCCTGCAGCACCAGGGTGATGAAGATTGAATTAGTCACATGACATGTATGGCTCAAAAACATCCGTGCCCAAAACTGAGTGCCTGTGAGCAAAGATGGCAGATTGTGCCAGCCGAAGAACAGATAGCTTTCTTCAGATATTATATAGACCTCATTGGCTTGGTGACGTTGGTCATCCATCCAGCGTGCCTTTGGCTAGAGATGATGTGATAGTCTCCAGCATCTCCATGACCCTATATGGGAATATCGGTTGGGAGAATAGTTGCATTTCAGAGGTGGTTATTACTAGAGTATGAAGGTTTTTTTTTTTTTTTTTGGAATTGTGCACAGTAAATCAGAAGTTGCATTCAGTTTTAAATTCTTATAGTCTTTAAGCACTTACAAAACCACCCATAATCCAGAATAGCTGAATATCAGTGCGTTCAAAAGAAGGGATATTTATTTTGAATGAAATGAGAGGAGTTCACAGCTGTGCAGGGCAGTGTGGATGGCACCATGGGAGGAGTTCTGAAGTGTCTTGGGGAGCAGCTGCCTGCACATTCGCAGATAAGGAAAACGGGATGATCCAAGATGATTCATCCCGAGCAGCCTGAAAGGTTTTGGGGCTGATAAAATGCCATCAGCCAGTAGAGTGCACTGTGGATTCGTCTGTTTATATAATGTGTGTGTGTGTGTGATGTTGTATGAGATGCTCTCTTTACTGCACAACGGAGAAGGAAAGCCCCGTGTAGGCTGATTGGTCATCATCAGGGCCACATCGAATCTGTGCCTGCAGAACTGCACCAATCATTTGCAAACTTCTTCACACCTTGCATGTTTATTTTATTTTACTTTACTTTACTTTACTTTACTTTACTTTACTTTACTTTACTTTTTTTAATTTTTAAAAATTAATTTAATTTAATTTTTAATTTAATTTAATTTAATTTAATTAAAAAATATATATATTTTTTATATATATTTTTTTTTATTAATTTCATTATGCTTTTATACTACTAACCTGAAAAAAATGGAAACCCCAAAAATGGTAGCAACTAAAGTAACTTTTAGTTACTACTAGTTTATTCAAATAAATAAATATTATTTAACATAACTGAATCTATCTAAATACATTAATTTATACCAACTAATTTAATAAAATGAATCTTTATGCATTGAATCAGGTAAAAATTGTTCTTTAAGGTCACAACTGCAAGTAACCACTTTTTACAGTTTACAGCAATAATTCACCTAATAATAATAATTTAAAATGAAAATTATTTTCTTGACTTAAACTTATTCTGGAATAGTGAATTTAGTGAATTTCCAGAATATCCTGGCCACTTTCCAAATAATGGAAATGAATGGTAAGGTTCCATTAGTTAATGTTAGTTAATGTATTAACTAACATGAACAAACAATGAACAATACATTTATTACAGTATTTATTCGTCTTTGTTAATGTTAGTTAATGATACACTTAATACCGTTGTTCATTGTTAGTCCATGTTCATTCAAAGTGCATTAACTAATGTTAACAAGCACAACTTTTGATTTTAATAATGCATTAGTAAAAGTTTAAATGCATTGAATCAGGTAAAAATAGTTCTTTAAGGTCACAACTGCAAGTAACCACTTTTTACAGTTTACAGCAATAATTCACCTAATAATAATAATTTAAAATGAAAATTATTTTCTTGGCTTAAACTTATTCTGGAATAGTGAATTTAGTGAATTTCCAGAATATCCTGGCCACTTTCCAAATAATGGAAATGAATGGTAAGGTTCCATTAGTTAATGTTAGTTAATGTATTAACTAACATGAACAAACAATGAACAATACATTTATTACAGTATTTATTCGTCTTTGTTAATGTTAGTTAATGATACACTTAATACCGTTGTTCATTGTTAGTCCATGTTCATTCAAAGTGCATTAACTAATGTTAACAAGCACAACTTTTGATTTTAATAATGCATTAGTAAAAGTTTAAATTAACATGAATTAAGATGAATAAATGCTGTTCATGCTTAGTTCATTTAACTAATGAACCTTATTGTAAAGTGTTACCAAATGAATTAAAACTGGGTTTGCAAAGCCACAAAATGAGACATATAAAAGTGGTGCACTATATTATATGATATATGTAATCCTTAATAAAATATCTAATAAGTCTTCTGCAACCGTATTATAGCTTTGTGTGGCAGACCGAAATGCAAGCTGATGTTTTACTGAAAATGAAATATGGTGCTGCATCAGGTTTGATTTCAATGACATTTGGTTACAAGACACATTGAAACCAATGGCATTTGACGTCAGTGGTGTTAAATGTCATCAACGGGACGTTTTTACATGTGACATTTGTAGTCCGTTTTAGATCTTCAGAGGAGCGAAATATCATCTAATTAATATTAAGATCAAATGAAAATATCCATATTAGTAATTAAACATATAAATTAGTATATGAATATAATATTCATTTAAATCGGAAAAGAGTTAATAGTGTGTCTCCCAACTTTCTCTAATCATAGGGAATATACTGACCAATAATCCCACTGTGTCCTATAAATCCGGCATATCCTACAGCACTTGTTTTGTAGTCTGCACATCTTGTCTACTTGTTTGCAAATTCTTCTCTGTTCTGTTATGTTGAAGGCACCCAGGAAATCAAATGTGGCGTCGATGAGGAATCAGGTGACATTTATCTCTCTTTTGAGAGCTGCCAAATGATGGAGAAATCAAAGTTTGCGTGGAAGAAGTCCTACCAAGAAATTACAGACTTCTCTAAGGGAATCGTCATCAAGACATCAGGCAGCCAGTAAGAAAAACACACATACGATGTGTCCTAACTAGATCTGGACCAGATACATACTAGCTCAAAGCATATTTAGGGCAATACCACAGTCTGTGCATATTCAATTCCGTTTGTTTTCCTTTTGTTGTCCCACTGAACATACACTAATGTTTGCTCATTTGCTTCTGTAGCTCAACTTTGCTTTTTAAGAACCCAGACAAAGAGGATTTGGGCACATACTCTGTGTCTGTTACACATACTGATGGTGCCTCCGCCAGCTACAAGATCTTAGCAGAAGGTGAGGCCTGTTAATATATTATGACTATCACCTTCATTATTAATGCCCTTCCTCAAAATTATATAGTGTACCAGACACTACAAAACATTCCACTGACAGATTTGAATCATATTTAATTCAGATATCAGATACTTGTCAGCATGTTGATCTGTCTTATGGATATCACATTGTTTTCTGTGAAATAGCTGCCATACAGTGTTGGGGAAAGTTACTTTTAAAAGTAATGCATTACAATATTGCGTTACTTCCTAAAAAAGTAACTAATTACGTTACTTAGTTACTTTTTATTGAAAGTAATGCGTTACGTTACTTTGCCGTTACTTTGTAAATCTGGGCTGGGCTTGCTTGTTTGCTTTTAATATAAAAAAGTTCTATTTTTGGCAAATATAAAAGCCCTTTCACAACAAAAGCCTCAGGCTGAAGGAAATGTAAATTCACGTCTGTACAGTATACACAGAAGAAGAAAGTGCAACGCTCTTCAGCAATAAAAAAGAAGAAGAAATGTTAATGTATCTTGTGTAATTTTTGCTTATTAGTATGGTTGAATTGGATCACCGAAGGTCAGCAGCAAATTGGTTAATAAAATGGGATTAAATACATAAAGGATATTTGTATTATTTAACATATTTAATTATTGCAGCTTTGAGTCATATTCTGAGTTGCTTTTAACAGTTTTTATTAATTTTGAGGAAAACTAAATCAGATTTTTTTTTGTGTGTGAGTGAGTGAGATGAATTAATGCATGTTCACATTTATTCTAGAACTAAAGTAACATCTTACTCCCGATTTCTCTCAACAAAGGGACAGGAGAGCTTTCAATCAATAAATGGGGGGAAAAAGTAACTGGCGTTGAAAAAGTAACTCAGATATTTTCTTGTAAATTAAAAAGTAATGTGCTACTTTACTGGTTACTTGAAAAAAGTAATCTGATTATGTAACTTGCATTACTTGTAATGCATTACCCCAACACTGCTGCCATAATATAATATATGTCAAAGATCCTTAATAATAATAATAAAGATTTGTGTTGTGATCGTCTTGAAATTGTTGATAATGATGATAGTTGATAAAAAAATTATAGTTGCTTCTGTTCTCCACTTTAGAGCTGGAGAAGATGTTGGCCCTCAGCTATGACATACGCAACCCAAGTAAGTGACCCTGCATAGTAGAGATCGAACACGGACCATGTTCAACATGCACACTTGACACTTTAATTGAACAGTATAATCAGGGTCCCACAGTCCTGGTAATATTCCAGGTTTGTAAAAGTCAGGGAATTCAAGAAAATCATAAAAGGTCATGGAAATGATTGTAACATTTCACAATTAATTTGTTTACATTATCTGATGCATGTTAATTCATAATTATTGTTATACTACCTGGAATGTTAAAAATGCAAGTATTATCTATTGCGTAATTGCGTATTGCGTAATAAACAGAACTGCGTGCGTCTTGTGGAAGAATATTGTAGCCGGAGCTACTTCTCTCTGTTTATGTCTATGACGAATCACGCAGGTACTGGGCTACTCCGCAGTGGTACCTACCCGAACCAGTCTAAATAGTCAGAATAGAAACACTTATTATAGGTGTACCGTAGTGATTCAGGACAAGCCAAAAACACGGTTTGGAAAATGGATTCATTGTGTATTATATAAATTTTGAACAGTTACGGACTGCAGCTTTAACTAATGTTAATGTATATAATCTTATTATGAAGTGTTTACAAAATTTATATAGTGCATATACATTTTTGTCTAATTATTCTTTGCTCTGAAATATTTATTTGGCTAAAAATGACTTTTTTTGTGAGTGCAAGCAATTAATTTGTTTACATTATCTGATGCATGTTAATTCATAATTATTGTTATACTACCTGGAATGTTAAAAATGCAAGTATTATCTATTGCGTAATAAACAGAACTGCGTGCGTCTTGCGGAAGAATATTGTAGCCGGAGCTACTTCTCTCTGTTTATGTCTATGACGAATCACGCAGGTACTGGGCTACTCCGCAGTGGTACCTACCCGAACCAGTCTAAATAGTCAGAATAGAAACACTTATTATAGGTGTACCGTAGTGATTCAGGACAAGCCAAAAACACGGTTTGGAAAATGGATTAATTGTGTATTATATAAATGCAGGGTCACATATAGTATATTTAATTATATATTCTAATATCCTTTGTCATAAATCTTCACAAACACCAATATTTTAATAATTGCTTGTTAAATGTAACCAATAACAGATCTAAAATTAAATATTCATTTGTGTACTGTACATTATAATTGTGTGATTTTAGCTTTTAGTGTGTTTTTTTTTTTAGTATTGGATTTTAATCAGTTTAACTGGATATCAGACATAACATAATTATCTGCTTTTCGATATCAGCCAGCAATTGAATATTGGTGCATCCCTCTCATTGAAATGAAAAGCCCAGCATGGACTGGTTTTGTATTGGATTACAGAATTGTCATTCTCAGTGAACTATCACTTTAAGCTTAGCTCCAACCTTTGCTGTGTAAGAAAACACAACCAATCCAAATAAACAGCTCCATTGCAATACTACCATCTGTTATGTTTTTCTGTTCTATTTGCGTGAGCCTCCTAAGAAAAGCCTAGGAGAGAAATGTTTTCCTTTTTCACAGCAAACTAAAATGAGTCACGATGCAGCTACGGGCATTATTGAGATGGTGATGGATCATTTCACTGACGACAGCGAGGGCACTTTCACTGTGCAGATCCAAGATGGCAGAGCCAAGGCCCAGTCCTCTCTGGTGCTGATCGGAGACGGTGAGAGCCAGCATCGCTCTAGGGCTTCTGCAGCTCTCCTCTTGAGATACTGTGCTCCTCTGTTGAACTCTACTCACTGACCTCTTATAGTTCCTGCTTTATTTTCCTTTTCCAGCCTTCAAGGCAGCGCTGGCTGAGGCGGAATACCAAAGGAGGGAGTACATTCGTGTGAAAGAGGGTACTGCACTCATCCTGTTGATATAGCTGTTGAAGTAAACTTCAGACCCTGTGGTTTTGTAATCCATTCTTGGTATTACTTTTTTACAAACAAGCTTTGCATTATATACAACATCTCTTATTGGTTTCCTGCTGAAAAATGGCTTACGTGAATAGTTCAGCCTAAAATTAAAATTCTGTCATTGCCCTCATGTTTTTTTTTTTTTTTTTACATACAAGAAGAGATTGTTAATAATATGCCAGTCTCTCTTTTACACTGTATTGCGTAGTATATTCTTCTCAGACTAGTAGATTTAGAAAAGGTTCCAAGTTTTGTCACTTTACCTCCCAGCTAAAACAGATAAATACCATCTTGGGCAGACTGTGAGACTAGCAAACCACTTAGGCTGGCTTATTTATTTATTTATTTAGCAGTAGGGTTGCTCACTGATTCTTCGAGTTTTGTAATTCTTTTTTTTTCCAGGTCCTCACTTTATGGAGTTCCTGTCCGCTCAAATTGGGGATACTGCCTCTGTCACTCTTGTTTGCAAGGCAAGTTGAATGGGAATGATTTAGCCAAAGCAAACTGAATGTCTTTGACTGACTGATGATATATTGGCATTTTCTTGCATGTCTGACCCCCTTCAGGTGGCTAATTTGAAGAAGGACTCTGTGTTCCAGTGGTATAAGGACGATGTAGAGGTGATTCCTGAGGTGCCCGCCGACTTGAGCTCAGGAGTCTGCAAGTTCCCCCTTACTAATGTGAGCACTTCATTCCATAAACACGGGAGCTAAAAAATAGTTTAGCAAAGTGGTTTTTAACTGTGTCAAAATTGCTTATCATACAAAAGTTAACCAAAAAGCCTTAAAATCACACACTGAAATATATTAAAAGAGTAGCTCACCTAAAATATTATATTCCAGGTTATTTAATATTTCCAGTGAATACTTATGTCATGACAACTCTCGGAGAGACATAACAATGTTTATGTGTTTTGTCTTGGCAGGACAGACTTGCTACTGCTAATACATCCACAGACATGCTGCTGTGAGCATGTACTGCTGGTACACATTTAACATATATGAAACAACATCCATATATAACATACATGAAATGACCCCGTAGCAGATCTATACAGGTGGAGCTGGGGAAGGTGGAGGGTAATTTTAAGTGTACTGCAACTGCTACAGCAAGCACTAGCCAAGTATTTGAATGTTGAGCAGCAAGCTCATTGGCTGGTGACGTGAAAAGAAACCAATGATGAGATTCTATCAGATTGAGTTAGAACCTATCAGTATGCACCATCTAGAGTTTCATGACATAACTTTGTATAACAGTGATCTAAAAACACTGGGCTAGATTGTATTAGTATTATCCATTAGGATTAGTGAATTTACTTTAAAAAAATGAGTTTGATGCACAGCCTTTTGATGTCAACAACTAAATATGAGGGGAAGCTACTTCTCTTGAATGTTTTACTATTCATGGTCTCTTAATATTGTGATTATATACACATTTATATGGCTAATTGCAATTTATTAGTAGCATTTACATTTGTTTTTTTCCCATCATGTCCAGAGAACAGAACGGACCTGTGACCCATTTATGGGTTCATGATCACTAGTTTAGTCAATAACAGTCGTTTGTGTTTGTGTTTTCCATAATCAAAGTTTAAAATTGATCAAAAGTGCACTGAAGCATGCTCAACGCTAAGTGCCATAGCTACGGTTATTTCAGTGAAAAGACAAATAATCCCTGTTGGATTGTTATGGGTAATTGCTCTGTTTTTGTTTCAGTCGATATTCTTCCCAGTTACAAAGTAAAACAGCTTGTGCAACTTCCATAAATACAAAGAAGCTTGACGCATGACAAAATTATAGTGTATTTATTGTAATCGCTCCTGACATCTTGTGAGAACTACCATAAGAACATTTCACATGAGAAATAACCTTAAGAGTTTTTGACTCCCAGGGATTGAAACCAAGGGTCTCTATCAATTCAGTGCCATTGTAATTTTCTGTAATGTTGGTTATTCTTTGACATTTTTTGTCAGGATTATTTTTACAAAACTATATGAAATACCTATAATTTACTCCCAAGACAATGTAGCACAAAACCTATTCTGACAGTAATGCTCTAAAAAAAAGCATTGTCTTTGTGAGATGCTGTATTTTTTATTTATTTTTTTTCTTCAATTTTGTATCCTGCTATTGTAGTTCTCCAAGAAGGATGTGGGACTATATAAAGCAACCATCACTGATGACAGAGGTCAAGATGTGTCACAGATTGATGTTTCTGGCAAAGGTACCGTCTCTCAGGATTGTCTTATCAAATATAGAAAAATGTAAATGTGTGCTGGAAAATGTTCCATTAAACATGTATTACAGATGTCTTTTTCTCGCCCACAGCTTTTGATGAAATCATTAACGAGCTCAGTCGTATCTCTGGTGTGTATAACATGTATCATCGTGCTTGTCATTTGGCTCTCCAAAGTCAGCATGTCTTTCCTTGTGTAAACATCAGCTGATTTTAAATCAACCGTCTCCCACCCCTCTCTCATCTTCTCTATCCATGGACTCTAAATCTGGTCATTTAACTTAAAATGAACCAGAACTTCAATTAGGAACTTTTTATGGTTTCCCATAGTTCATATTTAGTGCTGCGCTGGAGCAGTCAGGATCTTAGTGATGAATTGTATGACTGTAAACCAAGGGAGACTCTGATACTCTTTTGCTAAAAAAGCATGCCTTGTTGATGTGGTGTTTAAGTGATTCTTCTGAAAACATATCCAGATTAAAAAAGTGCATAAGCTTAATAGTAAATCCATCAAATTAAAATGTATATACAAAGTAGATAAAAATACTATTACAATTATATAAAGCCAATTTTAAGCTTTTATAAGCATAAGCTGTTCATTCACAAAGAGCGTTTAGAAGCATAAATTCAGTCAAGTGTGTCCAAACGTTTGACTGGTAAAAAACATAACAATAACTTAAATAATATATATATATAATTTTTTGAGGACTGGCCATCCATCCGAGGTGTTTCCCTGTCTTCGCCCTGAGATGCTTGGATAAGCTATAAAATCCCTACATAGGACAGTGTTTTGGAGAATTGATGAATATTATTTTTCGAATTACAATTACTCATGATTTTAAGGTAAAATATGTTGTCAGATTCACAAATTTGTTTACACACAATTCATTGCACGTCTACCCACTTCAGTTTCCAGTATACTAAAATAATTCTTAATCTTTATTCCAAAAAACAATAACATGAAAACAGTAGAAGGATCATTTTGAAGAGAAAAACAGTTGTTCCTTGTCGCTGGGTGCCTACTTGAAAATCTTTGCATAGATAGCAAAAAATCTCAGCTTTAACACATGGTGAATCACAGCAATGTTGGTGAATTTTAAGATCTCTTTCCTTCTTTTTTGGACCTGGACAGGATCCACCGCCTCCGAGTTGTCGATTCAGTGCACTGCGGAGGGCATTATGCTTCAGTGCCATATGAAATATTACACAGAGGAGATGAAGATCCATTGGAAACAAAAGTATGCACATTTTCCACTCTCCCTTGAAACGATTTCCTAGAATAAAAAAAAAAGATACACAAATACACTTGCAAATGAAATGCACATGCCTCTTCATGTCCCCAGGCGTGACAACGACTCTACATGTAAACATGGTTTTCAGATTTTGGTCTATAGTTTTGTGTTGCTTTAGTGTGAGGTGTACAAAATAAATGATTATTGAACTACAGGAAATTACAGGAATAAAGAGTCTGTCTTGTTCCTCGCTCTGTTGTCGACACAAAACAAATCATTCTGATTGCAGTTGCCTAATGCTCTGCCCTGGAGGTGATTCAGTAGCATGTGAAATTCTAACGCAGTGAGAAAAGCCTCTTCCTGCTCCCATGGCTTCTCAAATCCCTGTATTAGCATTTTGAAGTGGCTATTCTGGGTCTTTTCCTCACCCTGTAGCACGTTTTGAATCACACGCAGAGCAGGTATTAATGCAGGGGACATTTCACATTCAGTCGTGGCACACAAAAAAAACACCCACCGTGTCTAATTTTACACTAGGGACATGCTAATTTGATGCCCCACTTAAAAAAATGTTTTGAGAGCATTTACTCTATGGAAAATGAGCAAACAATTGAGCTTAAAAAAGGGATTGGGATTAAACAGGCCTTTGGTGTAACATGTTAAAAGCATGCTTGTGATCGTATTGGTTTTATCATTCTCTCAGTGATGAACAGATATTCATGGGTTTCTTTGCATTCATTTACTCTTTGTACTTCAAGGGATTCTAAAATCAGTGCATCAGAAAGGATGAGAATTGGTGGCAACCCAGCAATGGCAACTTTGGAGATAGTCGAAACGACTGATAAGGATAAAGGAATGTACACTATTGAGATTGTGGATCCTGAGAAGACGCATTCTCGTACCCTGGACCTCTCCGGAGAACGTGAGTTGTAAAAACAAACCTATAGACTATACTCAACAAAACTGACGTAGCAATTTGCACTCAATTTGTTTGGGTAGAATTCTTCCCATGTGTTGACTGAAGAGCACCTAAATGTGAGTAATACGAACACTTGATATTTCAGTAGGAAGTTACTCGTCACTGCATTGATGTTAATGCAATTATTGCTCTTTGAATGGAGAAACATACACTATAAACTTAATTAATGTAGCCACCCACAACCTTAACGACAAGCTCCACGGTAACACTTTAGTATAGGGACCAATTCTCACTATTAACTAGTTGCTTATTAGCATGCCTATTATTAACCTACCTAGTCTCATGGCAAAAACGTACCTGGGGGCACTTTTTCGCGAGATGCGAAATATGCGAAATACCAATAAGTACATATCACTGCAGTTTCCAAAAGAAATGAACACTAGAGGCAGTGCAACTCCAACACCTTTTATTCCTGTTCACACACATTTACCGAGTTTCGATTAATAAAGCGTAATTTTCGCACAATTACTTGACGGATATTATGTTATGACTTCTAAACAATTTTAATATGCTGGAAGATTTGAAAACTGATGCTTTTGAATGTTAGCATCGCACATATCCAGCTTCATATCTATGGGTTTTCATCTACAACAGGTTTGTTCGGTAGCTCATGGAGTACAGAGACGTAGTTGAGAGGTGAGGAGCTCCGGTTCAAATCCTGTGTAACTATGGTTTGACAAAACAGTTCAAATCTGCATATAAGGAATTTCAAATGGCATGGTTGCATCCACATGTGTTTTTATATCAGTTTTGCATTTGTTAACACTATCGGGTAGGTTTAGGGTTGGTTTGGTGTAGGGCATATTTCCAACACGATAGAGCATTAACTTTTAGCGACAGTCCCCGGATATTTGAATTCTGAACCGCCGCAGTACATACCTGAAGCAACGTAATAAAAAACACAGCAATACGTACCTATATCAACGTAATAAAAACGTGCCAGGGTTCACGTATTGAACTCGTGTTTTAGCGCCTCTCAGTGGACATTTATCTTTGAAACTGCGGCGAAACGTGCATTAAGGTACGTAAAAACGGTGTTGCAGAAAAGTACCCAGAGGTACGTATTTTTATGAGATCAGGTTGTTATTAACATACAGTATTGGCTGTTTATTAGTACTTATAAAGCACTTATTCTGCATGACCATATTCTACATCCCTAATGCTGCCCCATACCTAAATTTAACAACTACCTTACTAACTATTAATAAACAGCAAATTAGGAGTTTATTGAGACAAAATTCATAGTTAATGGTTTGTTAATCTGGAGAATTGGACCTTAAAATAAAGTGTGACCAGTTCCACGCTTCAGCTCAATGGTAACCACAAAAATTTAACTGATCATTGAACAATACCAGGTCTTTCCCTTTACTCAAAAACACTTCAAGTCAACATCTCAACACTTTCAAAATGTACTCTTCTGATCCAACCCATATGCAAAACATGCCGGGAAATAAAAAGCCACTGCCTTGTTTCAGTTTATGATACAAACATTTTTCATAGTACCAACCAAATTAAGTAAACTTCAGTTTTACATATTTAGATTGAACACAATTAAATTAAGTAGAAACAAAATGTTTAGCAATTGTGTCATTTCATGTACCTAATTTTATTAAATGAATTTAACAACCAGCAACAACAAAAAAAAACCATCCTCGTTTAATTTGAATGGTCAGAGAGAGGGTTGCGAGTAGTCACAGCAAACTAAGTTATTAACTGTTAGCATAAAACAACCTTTACTAAACATTATAATTGGGCAAAATATATGAAAAATGTATGATGCCTGAATGGGAGTATTGCAAAAAACAACCCAATTACATTTGAACTTAATTGAGCATCAAGTGAAATACTTCAGCAACAGCTCAGATACTTTTAACCTCCCTACCAGAATCAGCATTAATGAGAAAAACACATCAATGTTGAAGGTGATGGCAAGACTGTCATGTTTTCGTGTATTTTAAAGGCTTTTTCCACTCAGGAAAAAAAAGTTATTACAAAGATGGTCAACCCAAACACGTGTTCTGGAATTGATCCCGTGTAGATGTGTTTATAATTATAATTATAAAGGCCACTGTTGCAGCTGCACACAAAGGAGATGTATTTAAGGAAATCCAGGGATGATAAAATGCTGTCATAGCATCAAAGGTGCAGATACTGGCAGCGGTTTCAGTTAGTCAACAGACTGTTTGATGACAAACATAATCAAGGGCTGGTATCTGACAGGTCATGCGATTTGCCGAATGCTGACAGTAATGAGTAGGGGAAGAAGAGCTATTTCCAGCGAAGCAGGAAAATAATGCTATTAAAATAATGAGAGCTGATTTTCTTTTTATGCCATGCCTCCGGGACAAGAGAGACAGTGCTGTCTTCCTTTTTTAAAAAATGGTATTCATGTTTTATATGTTCTTAACTTTTATTCTTTTTTTTCTGCCCCCCCCCCCCCCCCCCCCCCCCCCGCCCCCAACACCACCCCCCCACACATCACCC